TGGATCTTTTTTCTAAATACATTTGGATTTTATATCTTCTTGTTTTTTTTTATTCTATTATAATTCCAATTACTTGGTTTTATCTTTTGTATCTTATTCACTTTAGTTCTAATAAATTTTATTCTTTGGTAATGAATCAATAGTCATCATCTAATCCAAGGTCAATTTTTGTGGTCACATTGGATATCATATTGAGGCTATCATGAGCTACTCTAAAAAAGTCAATCAGGAAGTGAGAAGGCATTACAATAGTAGAATTCAATGAAGAAATTATAGCATGAGAGATATGGTAGAGCAATCCTAGATAGATGATCAAATACATCACTTCTTAGGTCAGATAGCTACTTTGCAAGGGCAAATAGAAGCCTCAAGGATAAGAAAGTTGACATTTGTTGGACTAAAATTGAGTAAGCCTAGTACAGACTCTGAAACTTTAAGATAAGAAGATGTATGTCAATGGCTCTTCAATATGCGAAAATACCTCCAACTATCTAAAACAAATACCGCTAAAGGAATTATGTATGGAAGCAATTATTTGAGAGATGTGGCAACTATTTGGTGGTGATATCGAATTCTAAGCTATATAGTTCAAGGTGGATTTTGTAATTGGGAGGAGTTTGAGACCAAGTTTAGGAATAAATTTCAGCCTATCAATGTAGAGATGATAGCACGCAATCAGTTGATAAATCTTACACAATTTAAGTTGATGTAAGACTATCTCCTCATTTAAGTCCTTATATCTCCAAATTGGCAATATTTTGGAGGCAAAGATGATGGATTGACTCCTATGAGGTTTAAAATTTGAGATCCAATGAGAAGTGGAACTAAAGGATCTACCAACATTTGAAGAGGCAATTCATATTGCAGAGAAGGTCAATGCTATAGATTTTAGAAATTTTGGAGTATGACCTATAGCACAAAGTCTTATGCCAATATCTAATACTATGGCATAACAACCAACACCAATGGAAATTGTTGCTCTACAAGGATCATTAACACCACAAAGACGAAAAATATTGGTACAAAAGGGATTATATTTTTACTATCAAGAGCCATGCCATCAAATCGGAGGTTGTCCAAAATGCCAAAATTCAAGCACCAACAAAACAAGGCATGTTCAGAGTCTCAAAATTCACTAAGTCAATAATAAGACAGAACAAGAAAATAGAACTCTTTAGTAAAGGTGCTGAAGGCCAGTACTAAGAATAGCTACTATTCCTCAAAGACAAATAGCATGGCATCAAATAATTATAAAAAGAATCAATTGGTGCATCTAATGGAATTACTAAAAAGACAACCATATCAAGTGCTTGTAGATTGTAGCTCTACAAAAAATTACATATCAATTGAAATTACTAATCAATTTAGAATTAAAATTAAAACAATCAAGGAAGTATCACAGACATATGCATGTAAGCTAGTAATTACTTATATAAATAAATAGAAGTAAGCAGAAATAGATAAAAGCAAGTTAATTCTATATTATCTTCTATAGAAACTTCTTAAAAGCTTCCATAGATGCTACTTTGACTTTATAGGTGTCTTTAATTGACTTTTTGGATTAGACATGTGGTCAAAAAGTTGGCCATGTGCCACACATGTTGTTAGCTTGAAGACCAAGTTAACTATGTTGTCCACACATAAAAAAACTTTCATTGTAAGTCAAGGCATGTGTCCTACAAAGTCAACACACATTAGAGATCCTATAGAATATTGCCACATAGCCTCTAGTTAGATAGTATATATAGAGACAAGAGTGAAGCCCTCTTCACTCTTGTCAATTCCTATCTTGTTTCTAGTCTAGTTTTAAAAGTGTCAAGTTTTCTTGTCTTTTGGCAATAAGCCATTCCAATTTCTTTTTAATATACGTACTTCTTTATTTCTATTTTGTTACTCTTTCTTTAATTCATATTTCTTTGGTTTATGCATCATATTTTAGTTCATGTCCTTGACATGCACTCAAATATTGATGCCCCAACACTTGCACAAGTTTTCTTTGATACTATCTTTTGTCACGATGGATTATTTTGTGTCATCATTTTAGATTGAAATCCACGCTTTACAAGAAGTTTTTGGCAAGCTTTGTTCAAGCTACTAGGTACACGGCTTGCCATGTATAGCCTTCCATCTCCAAATAGATGGACAAATAAAGTATACAAATCAAACTTTAGAAGATATGCTGCGGGCATTTGTGATGGTTCATCATAATAATTGAGATGAATACTTGATGCCCTTAGAATTTGCTTAGAATGATATTATTCAAGAAAGTACTAGTCATTTCCTATTTTTCATTAATATCAATCAGCATCTGATTATGCCAGTAACTCTCCATTTTTTTATCGACATTAATAACCCGACAGTAGACAAATTTTTACAGTGGCTTACAATGGCCTTACAAGAGGTATAGCATTGCCTCCTTACTACACAGAATCGACAAAAGAAGTATGTAAATAACCATCGGCAAGACAAGACCTTCTGAGAGAGTGATTAAAAGGTAACTTCCAATGCTAATTTGCCACTTGTTACATCAACCCAAATCCATAAACTAGCACCTTGGTGGCCTGGACCTTTCTACATTCTGCAGTGATTTTTGATGTCACATACCACCTCGAGCTTCTCTCATATATTCAAGTCCATGCAGTCTTCCATATTTTGCACATAAAAGAATTTCATACCAAGCCAAAGCGCTTTCTAGATTGACACCAACCACCACCACTACCACCAATTGTAATTGATGACTGACAAAAATATGAAGTAGACAATATTTTGGAACATCGCTATCTTTATTGTGGCAATGGACATCGACAACTTGAGTACAAAGTTCTTTGGAAAGGTTATTCGATCCATAATGCAACATAGGAACGTGCACAAAACCTCACCAATTGACAAGAGGCAATTTGGAGATACCATTGGCAACAAAACAAAGACGTTTTGTATTAATGGAGGGACATTAACTACAACAGGGTATATATAAGTTATTTGTATCATTGACACGTAGGGATAGATAGTTAGAACCATGTTTGAAAAGTTATGGAAGTTTCTAGAATTGGGATTAGGTTAGTGGACTAAAAAGGATCCACTATAGAACATTTTAGAAGGAATTTAGGATAGTTATCTAAGTGGAGTCTATCATGGAACCTTCTAGAAAAGACTTAGGATAGTTATCTAGGTAGGGCCCATCATAGAACCTTCTAAAAGGAATTTAAGACAATTATCTAAGTAGGATCCATCTTCTAAGAACATTGTAGAAAGTCCAAGGTGGTAGAACAAAGTATAAATAGGACTAACTAGGGCCATTTGGGACATCTGGCTTTGGACCCCTTTTCTAAATACATTTGGATTTTATATCTTCTTGTTTTGTTCTATTCTATTCTAATTTTGATTACTCAATTTTGTCTTCTGTGTCTCATTATGTTTAGTTTTGTTCAGTTTTGTTCTGGTCCAATTTGTCCTACTTTGTAATGAAGTTTTATGTTGCTATGGATTAACAAGGTCTTTGACTCTTGAGATAGACCGGTCTTGTTTCATCCACCTTTGTAGACATTATAAACTTTCAATATAAACATATTATTCATGTTTAAAGAATTAAAAGAATCTCATTCTTATAGATTGAATATTTACAAAATAACTATTAAAAAATAAAAATAAAAATATGTTGTATTAAAATATGGACAAAGATATATTGGTACTTTCTCTCTTCTTTTAGATATTTTAGTATACTTTGTAAAATAGCTCAAAATTTCTATGGCTCACTAAAGTTGAGCTCCCACATCTTAGTTGAGAAGAATCTACAAGAATTATTGCTTATAATTCCCTCTAAAACAAATCAATAATTCATATCAAAATATTTTAAGGATGGTATCAGAATATCCATATCCTTGAGTATAAAAATAAATATATATGCATTACAATTTTTAATTAAAAAAACTACATAAATTATTTCACACCGAATCATATTTTCTAAAAAATATTCTTTATTACTCAAAGCTTTTTAAGTTTTTCTTACATAGTTCTAACTCTAACAATCAGTAGCTTTTAAAACACACAATGTATTCTACTTAAAATCATGACCACAACTGATTTGAAACATGTACACAAGACAAAATAATGACCTATATTATCATAAAAATAAAACAAAAAAACTCTTTTAAAAATGAATAACATGTCTAATTTCGTAAATTTTAGTTAGTATCAAATTGTAACATTCCAAAATTGTACTATTTTATTTAACCCAATTATTTGCTATAAAATTAAAAAATTAAAAATCAATGCTTGAATTGCAAAAACCAAATTAAATACAGATAAAAATTAAAATTCCTATAGCAAAACAAATTAGTACTTTTAAAAGTAAATTTAGAATTCAAAATACAGAAGTTGGAATCCTGTTTCCAAAATATCATGTGTAAGTTCAAAATAAACCATTTTCTTAAAAAATCTGAAAAAAATTTGACATATTTAAAATGTTCGTAATTCTCAACACAAAATAAAAGATTGCCACTAATAGACATAAAAAACATTAGGAGGTAAGGATAAAAATAACATCCGAGAATATAAAATTAAATACCCATGAAGATTTGTCATTGTCTGTAATGTAAACACAACCAAATACAACCGAACACAATTCAAGGTTTTAACTATTAGTTTGTTTAACTGTGGGCAATACTTTGGAAACTTGGGGCCACATTAATCCCAATGAAGTACAACTTCAAGTAAGCAACCTTGATTAAACTTCAAAAATTACAAAAACTAAACCACAATTTATTTTTTCACTACTGAACAATTTATGTTATAAGTCGTGCATTGGTAACCCATATGTGGGCAATAACCGAGTAATGGAGTTTAATGCAACATTCTTATCATACAGCTGAATTATAAAAAAACCTGGTAACTTCACAAATATACCAATCACAACTACCATTTCCTACAATTTAGGCAGAAGCATTGCTGAACAGTAGTAAATGAAAGAGACGTGAATGTTAACCTCAAAACTTTAAGACTTATTAGCAGACAAAAACTAGCAGACAAGGTCAATGCAGATCTTTATTCAGACGTTCAACAATGCAATAATCACTGTCCTCAGAGTTGACATAAGAGACGAGTTCCAACAGAGCATACCTATGATTGTACACATGCATTCACCCGTTTCCATTATCCCTCATAATGTTCAAGGAATCGGTTACAATGTGCCTAAAAACAAAACCTATCATCTTGTATGAGGTCAGTATCTGTGGTGAAGTTTCTCATTCTCTCTGTAATTCTCAGCATACCTGGACAAAAATCAGATTACTCAATTAGAACCCTAAAAGAAATTGACATGAATATTATGCCAGTAATTGATCATAGTACATTTACGCTTGTGGAAGAATCCAATCACTCCAGTAAACTGTGGTAACTGTGTAGGGGTGGGCCGCATACTTGATTATGACTCTGGTTACGTATATTTCAATTCCAATGAACGCGTCATAACTTGGGGCTCAAATATTAATTGTTGTATTGAGAGAGTCACAAATGAAGACTATCTGTCATTTTCTAACGATCATCTCAAGTGAACAAGACTGTCTACGAACAATATGGTACAAATAAACATCAAATTGTTACTAGCAGAATCAAGAGACCATGGATTAGATTGTATTCTACTGTTAGATTAGAAACCCTAATACAATACATAACGATCAACGAACCTCATAAATTTTGTGTCATTCAGACCAGAACCTGATCACCTTAATCCTAAAATCTCTAGCAAATTACCAACCTCATCTCCAAGCATACGAATAGACTCATACACGTTTCTACACGTGCTTGACCGAGAACCACCAACTTCACGCACTAGTCCAGCTAATTTCAAGACCTAGGCGCACCGGTCAGTGACTGTCCAAATCGAGAACAATTTGGTTAAATCCACCTAAACTAGGTGCAATAAAACCCTAACTGATACACAGAGAGAAGAGATTACACAAGAAGAAAGTAGGGACTCACATGTAAGTGCCCACAATAGGAACCACCAAAGTAAAGGCAGACACCCAGTTCTCGTGAAATTTTTTGCTCAGCTTGTAGGGGATATCCTTCCACAACCCCGTCATGACATGCTGGTGATAGGGTGAGATCGTGTAAGCCACTTCTTTCAGTCTAACTGGAACCTTCCCCATTGCTGCAAACGACCATCAAAATCTACCCATGTCAAACAGCCGCAAAAGACCGGAACATTCCACAGCACTCGATCGTCCTCCTTCTCGAAACCCTAAAACAAGAGCTTCTCTCGAAACCGCACAGCAAGACAACCTACGGATGGAAAACCCTGCCACAATGATCTAGAAACTACTCGTAGCACTCAAAGTACCCGAAGAAACAAACCTCTAGAAGAACACTGAAGCTACTCCTACTTGCCGGTGCGACACATTACAGACGGCGTTTTGACTAGAAAGAGGCAAAACCCATTAGAAATAAAACGCCGAAGATAACCAACTCAAGTGGATTTTCAGGCCAGGGGTTGTAATACCTTCGGATCTGTGCAGTCGTAGAAGTTGCCGAAGCTTGGATCAGAGCGCAATGCGAGATAGCTTGAAGATTGGCTTTGAAACCGTCACCGAAGCAAGAAAACGGTGGACTCGGAATTTGAAGTACTCTTTCGAGGTCTTGATTTTAAAACCATATATCACGTCATGAGTTGAGGTTTCGTTTGGTCCTCATCGGGACCTCGATTCACATCCCCTCTTCTTTAGTCTAAGTGGCACAAATTACAATGTGTTTTAATTGTTATAGTATTCTTATGGAAATGGGGTATTGAGAATTATTTGTTATGTTTACGAAATTATATTTTTATTCTTAATTCTACAATTTTAAAATATTCAATTAGATGTTATTACATGCTCCTTAGAATTTATTGAGATAAGAGTAACTTCTACAGTTTGTTATACAATACTTTGTTAGTGATTTGGAGATTAGCATTATTATTTTTAAATTTTATTTTGAATGTGAAGATAATTTAGGTTGAAATGAAACAAAGTAGATTTTAAATAAAACAAATATTTTTAATTTTTAATAGTAAGTTATGAAAAGATATAGGGTGTTTTTATTGCCACTACAACTTGCTATCTATCACATGTCATCATGGTTTTTGCTAATGCCACCACAAGTTGCCCTAAACTTAAATTGAACACCACAAGGCACTTTTTTCAACCATTGGCATTATTCTTCAAAAATTAATTGTATTAGCCATAATTCTTAATTACTTTGAATAGTTGTTATTTGTGAAGAGAAGAGTCAATGGATGACCTACAATAAGAACATATGAAAGGAAATTATACCAAATCATAAGAGATTATGTGTTAACCACATGACATTTGATGCAACAAGCCATTGTATGTGCATAACTTGTATAATTTTAGATAGGCCAAATGCCAACACTTGCAAATAAATTTTTATAGAAAATAAAGGGCCAACCCATAAGTTCCAAAAATAAGGTGAAGTTGTTAATCAATTGCAACTTATTTGACTTTAAGTATGTAATAAAGAAAGTGTGGAGATGGATCAATGTGGCACTTTCAACCATGATAAATGGACATATCTTTTGTACAATATAAATCTTCTTATACATAGAGCCATTGAGCATATAAAGCATATTTATAGGTTTAAATAGACTTTAGTAAAAAATATTGATCAATCTAATTAATTAATTAATTATTATTATTATTATTATTATTATTTTTTGCACAACTTTAATATAAACACAAAATTAGAGTTTTATAGAGAAGTCAAATGCTACATGATTGATACATGGTCTCACATGATTTGGTAAAATTCTAGAAAATGTTTCTATTATCATTCCTTCCTTATGTTCTTATTATAGATGATTCATCTACCACTTTCTTTACAAATTATAATTAATAAGAATAATTAAGAATTATAAGGTGATACAATCAACTTTAGTAATAATATTGGTGGTTGAAAAAAGTGCCTCACAGTATGCAACTCAACTTTAGGGTAACTTGTGGTGACATTAGCAAAAACCATGGTAGCATGTGATTGATGGTAAGTTATAGTAGAAATAGCAACATTTAAGATATAAGTGTAGATGATTTTTTTTTTTTTTTTTTTTTTTTTTTTTTTTTGTTATTGTTAATTCTTTATGTATAAGTATTTTTTAAAAAATTAAAGTAAAATTTAAGTTTATTTTTGTCAAAATCATAAGAGATAAATATTATATTTATTTTTATTAAAAAACTAACCCTTAAAAACTAAAATGAAATATATTTATTTATGAAATTTGAATGATTATGCTCTTTTGTAAATTTTATCACATGTATAAATTCAAATTTAATTTGATATTGAAATATTTAATATAAATTTGATTTTAGAAAATCAACCATTTTAAAATTTCATAAAAAAAAATCTTTTAATTTTTTTTTTATGGATTATTGTAATTTATTATTTATTTTTTTATTTTTCTTCTTTGAAAATGACACATCTAAGATATTTTTGAAGATTTTGTATCAAAAAATATTTTTGTCATGATTTAAGTAGAAGTATTTTACATATAACCAACATCATTGAGAATCTTTGATAGAAAGTTTGTACATTTTATTTTTTGAGATCTTTAATATAAATGAATTTGGATATTTTATAATTTTTTTCTTTGAATATTTGATTGAAAATATATAATTTTAAATTTATTATTATTTTTAAAGATAAAATATTTGATATTGAATTTTAATAAACTAATAGATATTAAATTTTTCTAAATAATTAATTTTTTAAAATTATATATATACATACATCACATAAAATTTAGAAATCTTTAAAAAGAGGTTGCTTAAGAATATTGAGCAATCATATATAAATTTTATTCATAAAAAATAATGCACACTTTAATAGTTTTATACTTCTAAATTTTTAAAAGATTTTTTACAAAATATTCTATTTGTTCTCAAAATAAGGCATATATTGTAATGTTAGAGTATTGCCACAACTCACTTTTTGAACCTCCATGGAATCAATCCTAAATGGCAACTAAGACTATCCTATTATATGTGTATGAAGTAGGTAGAATACAAAATATTCATAATTTCTTAATATAGATATTTTTATATTTTTATATTTTAATACATATTGTAAAGACTTTGTAACAAAGTAATTAAAAAACTATGAAAAAGTATAAAAAGAAATTGATTTTAAAATTACAGCCTATTAATATAATCTTATCTTAAATTTTTAAATCTTAGGATAAGTTTAAACTACTAAAAAAAATAATAACTACCAGTTTTTAATATTTCTTAATGCCTTTGGAAACACCAAAGTGAACCAATATAAGAAACTTTGACATTGTTAATTTATGACACTAATACATTTCATAAGTTATATTTGCATATTTTGCTAGAGATTAATAACATTCATTACAATTCTATCACCATCTATGGCATAATTATTTTATTTACTTATTTTTAACACAAATAGGATGAAAATATTTATTGAATTAAAAGATATATAAATAAATTATGAATTTTTTAATATAAAATTTGCATTAATTTTTGTTTTGTTACAAAATCCTTAAATATAAGATTTGTATATAAAATAATTTTAAAACATAATATATAGATAGCACTTTAATTCTTATTTTATCACAAATTCCTTAAATATATTTAGTCAATAAAAACACAAGTAATTTTGAGAAGATAAAATGTTTAGGATCTTACTAAAAATCATATACAACTGGCAAAATTTCTTGCTATTATTTTTGATAGTTAATATACAAAACATTTCATAAAAAAGGCCTAAAATTTAAGACTATTAAGAATTCAATTATCACTTTGCAATAGACTTCTTGGCTTTGTATCCATTTTTTCACATCAAATACTAGTATGAAAAGCTTTATGTTTGAATTTTATCTTTAGCAATCAATTACATCTTCTAATATTGAGTAATAAGCTGCATTTGCTCAAAATGCTTCAAAGAGGTTCCATAGAAGAATATGTCAATAAGGCAAGTGATATCAAGAATAAGATGGTTGCTTTTAGAGAATAATATGAGACAAAAGTATATCTTAACCTATGGTTAATAGCCTACTGCATAGTTTTAAAGGGGTGGTTTAAACTTTTAGCAAATTTGGACTAGATGTTAATCTTTGAAGAGATAATCTTCAAATTACTAATAAAAGCCACTTAGTAGAAATAACAACTAACTTACCTAGGAGATTATAAAGCCTTGGCAATGCTTTTGAATTTAACTACATGATTGTAATTTAGAGGATTTGTTTCTATAGAACTTCAAAGATTTTTTTCTAAATCAAATTTCAAAGCCCAAAGATCTAATAAAAGATTCAATTAATATTTTTATAGAGCAAAGCAACAATTTTGCCCTAGCCATGATTTCATAGGAAGAAGTATTCTAATCTATTATAGCAATTGCCAAATAAATCATATTGCTAGTTGATGCATCCTAAATTCAACTATATTTTACAACTTTATTATAATAGAGGATAAAAAATATAGCAATTCATATTAACATTGTATAAAATCTTAAAATATCTTTCTTTGAGCTTAAAGGATATATTCCATATAGTCAATTGTAGTATATAGATAGTGGAACTACCACCCATATTACTAACTTTATAAAAAATCTTAATTAAATGGGTGAAAGTAGCTTTGGCCAAAATATCAAAATAATTAAAAGAAAAAATCATAGTATTAAAAAAATAAGCACTTCTACTATTAAAATTAATTTTGGAGTATTAAATATGACTAATATTCTTTATATTTTGAGTCTATACAAAAGTCTAATATTTATGGTACCATTATAGATTTATGTGATATAATGGTATTTTTCAACACACATTATTGGATATTAAATAATTTAGATAATAAATATATCATTGCTATAGACTATAGGAATCCAATAAATGGTCTCTACTAATTTAATTAAGACCTTCAAATCAATAGTTTAGAACTTTTTACAAAAAAATATAATATATGATATTATAGATATAGATATATAAACTTCTTTAGACTATAACATCTAGTAAAATATATAAAAGCCACATGATTACCTTCTCTAGATGCATTGACGATCATATATGAAACTTTCTAATAGGACAACAATATAAAGACAAATTTCGATATTATTTTGATAATAGAGCTATATTACGTACAAAATTAGTATACTCTAAGTCATTGAAACCACTACCAATTATATCATTAAGCTTTTTTTGATACTTTGTAGTTTTTATTAATGATTTTTTATAAAAAAATTATATTTATTTCTTATAAAAAATTATATTTATTATATATAAAGGCTAAAACTTTTACCAAGATTTGAATATTGAAAGAATTAATAGAAAATGAAACAAGAAAAAAGATACTCTTTAAACAAATGATAGTAGAAAATTCACATCAATTGATTTTAATAATTATTATGACTCATATGGAGATTAAACCTTAACTTATTCATATTGTAATACCATAGCAAAATGATGTAGGTGAAAGATGTAATAAAAAAATTATCAAAAAAGCCAAATTATTAATAATAGTCAATTTATTTTTTACTTTTTTATAAACAAAGGTAATTTCAACAACAAATTATTTAGTCAATTAAAGTTTAATAAAAACAAATATGGCAATAAGAGCATAGGAGAAGTATTCAAGTAAAATTCCTT